CTCGTGAGGGCTTTTGATTTCACATTGCAGGGTGGTCGATCTGGAGGTCGAGTGGTAGGGGCAAAGGTAAACAGTGAGACGAAGATGGCTGAGTTATGGTTATGAAGCAGAAGAGGTGCAGGTGGTCGAGTTGGCGGTGACGGGTGGCTCTGACAGCTTGGCCGTGTCTGGTCCCTGGGAATGGTGCATTCTGGGGCCAACCGAGCAGTGGGCACACCACTCTGAGGGACCGCCCTCGCAGCCTAACCTTGAACAGAGGGCTACGGCCTACAAGCTACGGGCAACGGCGAGGAAGCTGCCCTCTCATGGACCTGCCCCAACAAATGACGCTGGTCTTGTTACCCACTGGGCGAGCGAAGTCAATGGAATCGGCCGGCAACTACAAGGCCAGTCATGAACAAATCAGATCCGAAGGAGTGGAGCCACTGCCACGGTGCCTGCGCCTGCGAGAGTGGCCCACGGTTGGAAGGCAGCTGCATAAGCTAATCCACTTAGACCCTAGCGCCCTCTACACAAGCAGCACGTCGCAATTTCCTACTAGCGCGTGACCCATTTTTCTTCTGGCCCTCGCTGGCTTCGTCTGTGTGTCCTCGTGCTCATCTCTACGCCTGAAGGTTTCGATGGCTCGACGAAGCAATGCCGCCACCCACTTCGCTCTCTCTTTTTTTGTCTCACACGCGCTCAAAGTCAGTCTCAGACAAGACAATCCCTCCCTCATACCCTCCCACGCCTCCAAGCCATTCAGATTCCAGACCCATTGGCAGCTTGTTCAGATCAGGTGCATGCCAGACAAAGGCTCTCCTTTTGAGCCACCCTCCCCCAGGTGCCTTTCTCTCTACCCGCTTTCGGCTCGTCGCTTTGTCTCCCTCCAACCAATAGTCACGCCACAGCCATCAATGAGCCTTGACCAGAAAATGACGCCGCCGCCTGGCAGCGAACACGTAACCACGATAGTGGATGATAACCACAAGGACAAGAGGCAAAAAGAGGACACCTTGCAATGAACAATTACTGAATGCCTCAATTACGAATCTCGCTTGTAGAGGGGAGCACGAACTCCCGAAGGCTTCCCATCCCCTTTGTCATTAAAAATGCATTTTGCCTTCATAACTCGATACTGGTGACACCCGTTCTGGATGCCATATCCGGGTACATGCTTGTTCAACACGTCTACCGAGTCCCGTGGCTATCTCCTTTGTGATAGGGCCATTCAACAGCTACCTCACGCAACTCGTCCTAATCGGCCCTTCGGGATTTCAGGAGTCCCTCCTTCGTACCAGTATTGATATCAAGAGATGACAAGTTCAAGGACAGCTGATCACTAGCCCTGGACATATAGGTGGAAGGGGATGAAAATCTCTCATGTGGCCCTGATGATTGATTGTTGCTCAATCACCACCATGCTCTCCTGGCTGAGTCAACCTTACGAGTGCAACAGGTCATTCAAACGCGTCGTACAATCTTACCCCGCAAAAACTTGAGAGTCCTGGGCTTTGGGATGGGTTCATCGTCGCCCATGAGCTCGAATTCTGATTCCACAAGCTTCTGGAGACAACCAAGATGCTATTCTGCAGCTTGTCACCACTGTACACGTAGCCATTCTCCGTCATGTCTGATAATTCTTCAAGGACAAAGGAAGGCGGAGCCAAAGGAGGTTCCTCGTATTCCGTACCATTCTTCGCAGCCACAACTCGACGAGCTGAGGTCATGTGATTGCAACCATTCGCATCGCAAAGGCTCATCCAGTCGGCCCCAAGGAAGAAAGGTTGTTCTCGTGTGCTTCGATCAGTTTCCAAGGGTTTCCAAGCATTCAAGTTCTGGGCGCTCAATCCCAGCATATCCGGTCCCGAAATCCAAGTACGAGCTGTCAAAAACCTGGCAACGGCAATGGCGTGTTTATCTGATCGGCAGTCTTGCTCCAGGCGACATTAGCTTACGAAAACCTAGATCCAATGGAGTTCCAGGGACACCAAGGGGGATGACCACGTGAAATGATAAGCAATTATTGGCAGATGCTGGGTTTTGAGACCTGGGAGGATCATCTCGGATAATCTCAAGGTCATTGAAACAAGTGCCACCGAGGGTTTCGCGTTGCTGATGTTTCGGCCAGGGATCGTTCTGGTATCCCAGGGCATCCACAAGGTCAAAGACCCATTTCTCGACGAACCAGAGAGTCTTCAGCGTCAAAAGCAGCGTCGATGGAACGACGTGCTGTAAATTACACAGACAAGCAATCTGCGATATCTTGGATCGGTGACGGACAAAAGACAGACCACACTGCTATTCGATGCCGGCCGTTTTGCCCAAAAGTCGGTGAAAAGGCAGTGCAATTTCAATCCCTTTCAATGGGCTCTTTTAGTGGCTCTCTGAAGCTGTTACAGTCCTTTTCTTGGGAGCAGTCTAATGCAGCCAGCGGGCTCTTGAGGTGCAGAAGCCTGCATAAGCTCGGCAGGAGGCTTTCTCCATCCATCCTCCGCTTCGATTTTGGGCTGTGCGACTTGCCGATGAAGGGCTCCAGGCCCTGTTTGGATGCTGGCGCCCTCGGACAAGAGGCCAGACCTCATTGGCGCCAGCGGAGAAAAAGCTCTCGCCACCCACTGGCAACGGAACACGAACATCCAGTCATCGACATTGTCTGCAATATTGCCATGGCTGTTGCCAATACTACCTACCGGGATGTTTTTGTCGTCGCCCTGCACTAGGTACTCGTCGCTGAGGCTAACCGCCGATGCTATGAAACCCTCGATTATTGGTCTGTCAGACTATTGAATGCTCTACCTACATTGCCCAGCGTCGGGCCGAGCAATACTTTGCAATTCTAGATACCGATACCCCGCTCGACAGCGTCACTCCACACGGGCGTCGATCTGGACCTGAAATCTCTGGCTATGAGGTGCGCATTGAAAGGCAGCTCCACCGAGGACAGCGTCTGCTCTAACAGCCATCGTGTCTACCGTGGCACCTCAAGAAGAATTGGGCTACACAAGACTTCGTCCAAAGTAATGATTGACACGTTTTCGATGAGGTTGCCCCCCGTTGTGTTGGGACGAGCAGCGTCTCGAATTCTCCGACTGTCGACTGCCAGATGCGTCGAGATTGCCACGGGGTTTGGCCTCTGAATCTTCTCCCTAGGAGTACTTCTCACCCACTTCTTATCCGAAATTGAATCCTCTTTCAACACCAAAATATGGCTCTATATTATGGTTGTTCCATACAATCAAACCACGTTGGCCACCACGACCGAGCAAGGCAAGCCTTTGGCATTTTTTCAATGTTTTTGAACTACCACAACAATTTCTTGTCTTGTGTGGTTCCACGCCTTCGGTTTTCCTTTCGCATGCATGCCACCGCATTGCATTGACAGTCGCCACGGTGCAGACGGCCCAACCCAAGGAACACTTCCATTCAGATCATTCTCCAGTAGGTTTTCGAGATCTTCAACAACCCTTAGTCCAGATGGTGGGAGCTTTAGTCTGGTGAGGCTTTAAGCGAACCCACCGGGCGGCTGTTCCCATACACCACCCGGGATCTAGCGCATTCCGGTCGAAGATGGCGGTATATACACCGCCATGTTGGAATTTTTCTTACCTTGAACACGCGCTGGTTATCCCTTCCTCATTGCCGAAACTCGGAAAAGTTGGCGCTGGTGTTGCAGTGTGCATGAACGATATGAAGGTGGCTGGAAGATGCAGATCTCGATTGCCTATGAGTGGCTACGCTAATTAGACGAGGACAGTGACCGCAATCACACATTGCAAAATTTTTCAATGGCAGAAAAAAGAAAGAAAAAAATTCCTTCTCAAATTGTCTGCACATGTCGCAACGCGAGGACGTGGTGTTGATCTTTTACCTGTCTGGTCCATCATGATATTTCCGATACTCCGTTCCCAATCCTACGAGTGACAAAGTGTTATATCCTCGCGCAATGGAGTCTCAAGTCGGTGAACTGCACTATTTGCGGCGACATAGGTACATTCCTCCCCTTGCATCTCATTTCGACCCACGGATGCGACAGTATGTGGCTCGAATGTCGCGCCGCTTCGATCCTATCTTTAATTCACATGCCTAGGAGGACCAGGGAGGAGTTTGTACAGACGGATCGACAATTGAACCAGTGATTTGACCGCCTAAGGATAGGTAGGTCCGTGTCCCAGGAATTTCGGCTTTTGTGTCCTCATCATCCTTGGTCTGCGAAAGGGGCCAACTCCGATTCAGTCTGCTTGAGCCAACTACTATACTCGGTCACGAAGCCCACGATGGAGGGCAGTCGGTCTTACACGGCGGCCTTCATTGTGGTGCAGTCAAGCTCTGTCTGGGTACCCAAGGGAGGGTCTCGCCGTTGCTACCTATATGGTAATTATGTTGGTCCTCATAGACGTTCGTTTATATCATAGTATAACATATAAAATGGGATATATGGTATATGGTACATGGTATGCGTAGTATGGATATGGTACAATTGCACATGTGCTCTACTAGATACATAGCTACATATATACTGTGTACAAAGACCTCCTGCCTGCCGCGCGAGGTCTCTTAGCCCACTCTATCTATCTATCAATCAATCAATCAATCAGCCCTGGACTCCCTTCTATCCAGAATGCTTCTTTCCATCGTCTGTCTGCCTTTTCTGTGCAGAAGGGAACGAGAATATTATACAGGGGGCAGTTAACCCGGCCCCGTCTTGCGAAAGGCCTCCCGTGTCCACAGGTCGAGGCGAAGAGCTAAGTATCCTCAGCTTCGCCAGAGAAAAGTGTCGAAGCGAGAAGAAGAGAGTTGTGGTGCTCGTCGGCTTGTCGTCCTACCAACCAGAGGCATTGACAAGCACCGGTCCCGTGTGGCTGGCGTGGTTGGCATCGCTGAGGACGGTTGGTTCCTGTTTGTCTGGGCTGTCAGGCATTTCTTGGGCCTTTTAGCGGCACTGGATAGCTGTTCGCAGGCGATGACAACTCTGCGCTTGTTTCCTGGTTTCAGCCAGCTCTCCTCAGCAGCGGTACCGCTCACAGAGCTCCTCCCAAGGCCTCAACTAGCCAAAGGGCCAGCCGCACCTTCAAGCCTACCCTTCTGTCAATCTTTGCGAGATCATCCTGCGTTGCGACAGTCGCATCTCTCTGAAGGTTTTCCGTCTCTTCTTTCAGTCTGCGCTTGAGGCCTTCGTCGCCGGTCATGATCATCGCCCCGATTTCCAGATCAAGGCTGTAACTTCTTTTCGTGTAGTTGCTGCTCCCCACCACTGTAATGCTCGGTCCAGGCTCTTCGGCAACCTGACCTTCAGCGTCCAACTGAGGCGGGAGAGTGACCCAAAGGCCTTTTGCATGGTAGGTCATTCCTCCAGGTTCACCGACTGTGCCCCTTCTCCACTCCTTCAGTTGAATAACATCTTCTTTACCAGCAATGGACACGGTACGCAGGAAGCGTCGAGAAAGCAAAGTGTACGCCGCCGGTAGCATACCGCTTACTCCAGGACTGCCGTAGAAGCCGTTGGCCCACGGTGAGGCAGTTATCACCGTGCATGCCTTTTCGAAAGCTCTGAGGCCTGGTTGTACTGCGGACGGGCCTTCCGGAGCGGCTGCGATGAGGAGTTTGCAGATGTCTGGGTCGATATTAAAATATCCCGCCGTGAATGTCCAGGTTGACTTGTGTAATCGCTCATCCTCCGCAAGGTTCGTGAGTAGCTTAGTTATTGCAGGTTTCTCTGTGGAGGTATATTGTGCAAACTCATAATCGAGGAGGCCAATGTTCTTGGGCGCTCCAAGGAGGATGTCGAACTGGGCCAGCGGATAGACGAAGGTCTTTTGCTGCGTGAACTCGACAGGGAACATCTTTTGTCTGGCCTTTTTGTGTATCAATGGTTCGAGGATTTCTTTGGCATATGCCTTGAATCTTTTGGTATGCCATAAAGGGTCGGGGTACCCCCGTTCATGAGGACTCAACAGTTCGAAACCGCCGGGACGCTTCTCGGACGGAACCAGGTGGTAGGACAGGTCGCAGACAGCCTCGTGAATAGCGCCATAAAAATCGGTGAGTTCTTTGGAAGAGAAAAGGTGGTACCGGTCAAGACGGTTGGTAAAGTAGTCATTGGATAGATTGGCACTGAGTAACTGGGTCAGAACCTTGACACGAACCATAGTGAGCATTGACCATACCCTGAGAGCATTATTTCATCGTCAAAGCCATAGAGTTTCATATGTTGCAAGCCCCATCCCTCGTTTATCCGCTTAGGCATGTACTTCTTCTTCCATCCATTCAGATTTGGGGTATGGAACATGGAGATGTGGACGCGGTCGGGGAATTGGACGGCCAACGGTGCCAGGAGGGTGCCGCATGATGGATTAGGATCCTCCCGAGTTCCTCGAAGTGCATCGGTGAGGATCGAAACCTCGAGGTTCGGATTATTCTCGAGCGCTTCCTTGAGGGTCTCGATGAGCTCGTGCTCGGTTTTGCCAATGTACAATGTAGACAGGTATATCCGCCGTTTTGCTCCTCTAATCTTGACCTGTAGCACACCTTAGCCGGCCGCTTCCCCTCCCCAGGCGCGTTATGTGTCTACCTTCAGGGTATCATAGAAAGCGGTGGGAGAGTCGAGGATCTGAATTTTGTCGGGGTCTATCTCGAATCGAGGGGCGACATGATCAAGCTGGGTGGCCACTCCGGCGAGAGGGTGTGTTGTCGGAGCAGGGACATTGCTGAAAGCCGACGACGAGGACGAGGAAAAGCGTCTGGAGACGAACTTCGTTGTCGGGCTGCGCTGAATGCAAGCTCTGGTCGTCCGACTGCAGCTGCGGAGGCCTCGCAATCCACAGCTCCTGGCAAACATGTCCGTTCAGAGGCAAAAGATGGTCACAGCCTGTCACCTTTGACGCTGTTGATACCTCTCAATTTGGCCCATTTTATAGAAAGGTCTTGTTGGGTAATGGCGGATCACTCAATGCGTACTTGAATACCTCTGCGCACGTTCCCGACATTATTTCTTGTCGATCTCCAACGATGTTGTCATTGCTTGGCGCCATTGACTTGCCTGTTACACATTAAGATCAATAGTAATAGCCTTGTCTGTCTTCTAATCCTTTGACCTTGTTGACGAGGCCCATCTACTTTTTTAGAAAAAAAAAACAGCTGTCTGTGTAAAATCAGAGCAATGTTCGCATTGAAAATAGAATGACACATTCCACATCGAATCCGAAGATCAATAGAGTCCTTACTGCCCTGTGGACCACAATTGGGGTACCCAGGATGAGACCTGATTGCAATCTGACACACACTCTCTCTTCATTCTCATACAGCGTCTTGTACACCACCCAAGCCTCAAGGATCCCCGGCAGTCACCCAGGTACTGGCTCTTAGCTGGATCAGCCGCCAGACTCAGCGCACTCTTTGACGGGGCCTCTCCTCCGACCCTCACACATGTATGTCCATACTCACGAATCATCCGCCGTTATGCAGGCATGGCTGGCCGAGCTAGGTAATCTTCGCCTGGTCACTCAAAGCTGCAACCACATGCCGACGGGTCCTGGCAGCCACAGGTATCGAATTCATCCTCGGGGAGAGGCCCAGCGTCCTTCACCGCGACAACCATCCACGGATCTTGACAAAACAGGTCAGTGACAATCGGCTTGAAAACATTGAGATATACAAACAGTCATAATCATCGCCCATATTCAGACACAGAATATCCCATACACGGTCTGCAACGCTCGGCGTGTCTATGAACCCATCTGTGTTGGCGATACAGCTACGCAGTATCATAGCGTCGCAAACGTGTAAGTCACAAGGATCCGCAGGCCTCTTGAAGATGCGGATATTCTCGGGCTGTGTGGAAAGAAAACCCCATTCGAAGGGGAAACTGGGAGGAGTCATAATATTGACGTTGACTCATGGAGTTCTCAGTATCACATCAATGGGACATGCGAGGGTTTTGATGGCTTACCGGTGACAATAGCCCAGTGTGGAGATATGCTAGGTCCCTCATCGTAACCATATAGCTTTGCCCCAGCGGAACGAACCAACTCTTTACACTCCTCGTCGGCCTCGACCTTCCAAATAGTCTGGTAAAGGTGAGCCAGTCAGCGTGCATAGAACGCATAGAACTGGCATATTGATGGCATGAGGATTGTGATGTGAGCTTTGAAACCCGTGGGTTCAACGACGTACACTCTCGAATCCTTCACCCGCTTTAATATGGTACTAGAAATCTAAAGTCAGTTGGCGTCACACGAGGGGCTGGGTGAATTTCCGCAAAGACACTCACGATCTTACGCAGGTAACTCCCCTGATTGTAGACAACGAAATCCACGCGATCGGCAGAGATGAGCTCAAGATCTCTCGGCTCGATCGGTGCATCACGAAACCACGCCGAAGGATTGCTGCGGAGCAAGGTAACGGCCATCCTGGTTCTCAAAGGCAGATCTGCCATCTTCAAGGGCCTCTTAACAGGAAATTAAGAGCGACAAGAGTAACAACTTCAGTCTTTGTGAAACCTGGAGAGGAGTAGGGGAGGGAGAAAGATTTGAAGAGATGATTGAATTTGGCAGAGCTGTGGTGGTCATGTGAAGTGAAAGATGGTTGAGCGACTTCCTCGTCTCTGTTTCTCTGCTGGGTTGCGCCTTCCCAGTCACTGGCCGGCTCCTTCCTCGATACATCCATGGCTTCATCATGCAGGGTAAGCTGCAACCAGGTAGACTCACGATGCTGATACAATAGTCTGGCATCTTCACTCCATCTGCGCGTTCATTTCAACCAAAGTTGTAGCAAGCACATGGGATTCCATCTAGGCAGGCTCGTTCTTTTCAAAGGAGTCTGTTCGATCAGCTTGCAAGCAAGCACGCTTCTATCTTTCCCTTTAAGCTCCTGCGGCGTCGAGCGTTTCACTCCTTCTATCCATCCTCTGTGCCCCCCTCCAGGCTATCACGCACAAATGCAGTGTGTAGCTACCCAAAGACGGTTGTTGAGATAGATCATTAATGGAACGGTTATATGCCGCTTTGAACGGATGCTGCCTGACCCCGATGTCACATAAAGCGGCATCACACCTGAACCAAAGGAGTCCCGCCGTCCACTTGGCGCATTCGCCTGAGGCCAACACAAGCCAACATCCACTTCCTCACCAGGACAGTTGTCGAAGCGGTGTGCTCGTGGCTGGTGAAGAAATGGAAATATAATGAGCTGTCACAGATGATCCCCTCGAGGTCGGCATCTCAGTTAGAGATCGCCAATGGACTGCGCTGAAAATGCGACTTCCGAAGCCAGGTTTACTCCTTTTCGTCACCCTCGTTGCGAGTACTTCGATTCCATTCACGACCTTGACGTCTTCCACTTGTCCTTTTCGTACAGTAAATTACATTACCCACAGTCTCCCTCAGCAATGTCTTGCGTCGACTCGAAAGGCCAACATCACCTCCACGACGGTCGAAACCGCCACCTCTCCCAGCGGGGTGCACGCAGTTCCTACATCTTCTCCTGATGACTATTACGCAGAAGATTCCTCCCTCTCGGTTCCGTCCACTGTCCAGTTGTCATCCTCGATAGATTCTTCGGTTCACCCCGTGCACACATCGCAGGACCAGTCGGCTTTGGGTCCTCCCCAGACAGAAAGGTATGGTTCTTCTTCCGGGACAGATCCCGATCAGCCGGAGGACGAGTCCCCCCTCGAAGACGGAAAGTTTCTCTCTTTTGAGGACTGGAAACGAGAAAATCTGAAAAAGTCGGGTCAATCTGAACATATTGGAAAAGGGCCTGGAATTGAAGGTCGAGAGCCGAGGAGGAGAACCGCGTCTCTTCGAGATTCTCTAGATTCGTTGGGGGACGACGCCGAAATAGATTTGGACTTCTCTGGCTTTGTCTCTGACACCCTTGAACCTCCAAATCAGGATCAACCCAGAGTGCAGCAGGAAATTCGCGACAGTTCTGCCAAGATCGAACTGGGACACGCTCCGAGAGCCGGCGCGAGGAGTAAAGATGCTGGCACAACCTGCAAAGAACGATTCAACTATGCCTCATTTGATTGTGCAGCCAACGTTCTGAAGACCAATCCAGAAGCCAAAAGCGCTTCAGCGGTACTGGGAAATAACAAGGATTCTTATATGCTAAACGAGTGCTCTGCCCAGAACAAATTCTTGATCCTGGAACTGTGCGACGATATATCGATCGACACTATTGTGCTGGCCAACTTCGAATTCTTCAGCTCGACTTTCCATACTTTTCGAGTAAGCGTGTCCGACAAATACCCAGTCAAAACCGACAAGTGGAAGACTCTAGGTACTTTTGAAGCTCGAAACACCCGTGAGGTGCAGGCGTTTCTGGTTGAGAATCCTGTCATATGGGCACGGTATCTACGCATCGAGTTCCTTACTCATTATGGGAATGAGTTCTACTGCCCGATCAGTCTCGTCAGAGTTCATGGGACAACAATGCTGGAGGAGTACAAACACGATCTCGAATCAATCCAAATGGAGGATGAAGGCAAAGTGGAGCAGGAAGGTGCCGACAGTGCAGACGAGGATAGACTTGTACCGGAAGCGGTGGCTGAACAGCTTTTGACCGACAGTGACACTCTCGATGAGTCTGTCCGCACTGCCGCATCTGATTCATCCCTGGTGCAGGATCATCGCCTCGATCAGACCCAAACCCCAGACGTCGAAGATACCCAAGACGCAGTTTCCACCTCTCCGGTGCTTTCGTCTCAAAAGGTCAATGGCTTAAGTGACCAAAACGATACATCCAGCACGTGTGAGACTACGAAGGGCTGTGCTAGAACAACCCCCGATGCTCTTGATGGCCAGGATATTACTCAATCGTCTGACACAGAAGCTATAAAACTTACTGCAGATGTTCTAACCCCCAGTTCCTTGGGGTCAAGCCACGTCACAACGGCAGCGGTGGATGGGTCAATCTCAACCTCCAAATCTGATCTTATTGTCGACTCAACAGCGACCAATGCTTCATCGTCACCACCCGGCACCAACAGTTCGAAAACACCCGCGTCCGTCACGCAGTCGTCCCACCCAGCTCCAACGATGCAAGAATCATTTTTCAAGTCGGTTCAGAAGCGCCTGCAAACACTTGAATCGAATTCCTCCTTGTCCCTTCAGTATATAGAAGATCAGTCTCGCGCGCTTCGAGATGCATTCCACAAAGTGGAACAGAGACAACTGGCCAAAACAACCTCTTTCCTCGAACATCTAAATACTACGGTCCTCAATGAACTCCGAGAATTCCGCCAGCAATACGACCAATTGTGGCAGTCCACGGTTATAGAGCTTGAGATGCAACGCGAACGCTACCAGCAGGAAAACATTGCCATCAATGCGCGGCTCGGTGTGCTTGCGGACGAGGTCATCTTTCAGAAGCGAATGTCCTTTCTGCAATTGCTTCTAATCTTGATCTGTCTTGGATTGGTGCTGTTCTCCAAGGGCAATGTGAACAGCTACCTTGAGCTACCACTAGTACAAAGTGTCTTGTCCAGATCTCCGAGTTCACGATTTGTGAATGTCACCAGCCCCGACACACCCTCACAGAACTCCCCCGTCTCGAGATCCAACTCCGCGAGTGCAGTGCAACGGCGTCTGGGTATTTTGAAGGGCCACCGGCGTTTCCCTTCGGAGGACTCGGCTGACAATAGCTTGAGTCCGACTGATTTGTACTCACCACCAACGCCTGTTAGCTTCGGCGACCCTTCATCTGATGGCGACGACAAAGAGGACAATGGCAGGCTCGGAGATCCCCAATTCGATCCCAGCTTGATTGAGCGACCTAGTACGAGCCCGCCGGTGCTTACAGGGGCGGAAAACCCGAGTGACTCAGAGCCTAACCAAGAGATCATGGACGAGTCCATTGATAACGTGCTTCTTGGTTCGTCGGCGGGTAGCAGACAACCCAAACCACCTATCGTCCTTGTCGAAGATGCCACGCCTCCCCCCAAACATCTAAAGTGGCAGCTACCGGAGAGCTAAAGATGTTTGGGAGCTTTCGCGGCGCAGGGTGTGGGACATGGTCAGATCCTTCCACCCTGATGTCAATGGATCACGTCTCGTTGACCTATGGTTCTCGGGGACCACAGGGCGCATTAAACGCAGCTCATGACGACAAACAAAGTCCAGTCAAGCGCATGCACCTGCTGAGAGACCTCTCTGGTCTCAATCTGCACCCTTCTCCTATGCTCATGGAATTCCTCTCAAAGCAGCCCAGTCTTCTACAAAAATGCCAAGTATGGGGAAATGCCTGGAGTGTTCTAGATCAAGCAGGATAAATCATCGGAGGGCTCCCGATCTACCCAATGGTGTTCATGGGAACACGCTCAGGAGGGCATCTTACCCCTTTATGCAGGAGCAAGGTGAAGAGCATGCTGACCAAGCATATGTAACATAGTCTTCCTATCTCTGGTGTAGGACAAAAAGACCGAACGATAGCCATATAATGAACATGACTCAGAAGACGAAGATGGTGCGGAGATATGCATCTCTCCTACAAGATGGGGTGGAGAGAGTTACTGTGTAGCCGTTGACACAAACGTCAGTCTCTGGCACCGGTTAACTGCAACATGTTGATCGACCAGTAGTGAATGCTATTAGCTAAAACTTGTACTTAGAAACTGACCTGTATCTGGACAGCCTCTTGTGAGTTTTCTCTGAGCATCATAATTGACGCTTGGCAGCTCCCAGTTGCGTAATGCCCCCTGTGCTTGTACAGCCTTGCACAGCCTTGTGCATTCACTAGGGCAAAACATGATTGGCTGAACGTACTTGCCTTGTCAGTCGATATCCACGTGGACTTCCTCCCGCCTTCGTATCGGCGTCGTTACCTGAATCAAGAGTGACAAGTCATATTATCTAGAGTGGCACCAACGGTCACTCGCAGAGGTCTGTTACAAAATAACTATTATATCAGCGTCTTCAATATCATTGCGATCGGAACCATGTTCGGGATGGTAGCCGAGATTCGCCAGCAACTCCCTCTTCCGGACAATCATTTCTCCGCTACCGGCATCTGCATCCGTTACATCAACAACGACCCTTTCACCCTTTCTACCACGATTTCCCCCGTTGTTCCCCACGCGATCTGCAGACGAGATGGATGAGGGTGTGTCACAACTTGTCCACAGCTCACCGAATATGTGTTGGTTGAACTGTATTCCTCCGCTTCCCCCTCCCAAGACCCGATGGATCGGATGTGTTGTACAGGCAAGTTGGATTTGATCCCGAAGCAAATGTGAATCGAGATTGAAATAAGTCCTTGTCATCCGGTTCTGGTGAAATGTCTGGTCATTTCGACAGAATCTTCTCGTTCCATACTATTGCAGCTGCTGGAAATGTCCAGGCTCAATCTCTACATTGCTGCCGCTGTTGCAGCCTCGACCGGTTCACTGTTTGGCTACTCGGTCGGCTTCGTGGG